CATCATCTCACCATGTAGTAGATGGAATAACGACGTCTCATGGTGCCACCTCTCAACAAAAGTGTTAATCATACCCCAATTAACGACGTTATAACCATACTTGATCAAATATTTCAACTCTGTAAGCAACAACAGCTCATCAAATCGTGGCTCAATAGGGGCTTCGAGTTTACTTATCTTTCGTCCATGATTAATGACCTTCAGCGGATCACGTTCCTGCATACATGGTTTGGCAAAATTCATTCAACAAAAATCTATAATAGAAATGTAATAGAAGGAACAATTCAAAATCCATACCTCTCTGTCTCATATATGTCTAGCAACATAGTCCAGGTACAAAGGCAGTAGAGATAAATTAGACGGTCCTCCTCCAAAACCCTAAGGCACCACAGGTACCGCCTGAGGTATCGGCTCAGGTGCCTGAGATGTCTGGGATGCCTCCTTAAGTGCCGTTTGTGACTGAGGTTGGGATGCACGTTGTGGTTGCGCCTCAGATATCGGTTGTGTGACCTTTGGTGTCGGCTGAGAGTCGGATGTCTCTCCCGCCTCAAATACCATCGTGAGGAAGTGTGTTTACGGGAGGACGGAGGCGGGGAGGGATCAATTGGAGAATCCTGCCTGTTGTGGGAGGACGATAAAGTCAGAGTAAAAACATAAACACCTGAGGTTGTGGTTGTAGTAGGCACATCTGGCACAACCTGTCGAGAGGCAGAAGGAGCCTAGGATGCCTGACTCATTTTCCTCCGTACAAAAGCATGTTGTGCAAGCATCTGTACCTCAACCTAGATGGTCTCTCAGTCATTACTTCTGTAGAAGTACAAACCAAACATTAACATAAGGACTAATGTTCAAAAATGAAGGGGGAAATAGAAACAGACTAAAACCGAAAATGCATTACCAGTTTTCTTCAACGTTAAAATGAAAATCGAAAATACATTTATAGTACGACCTGAAATTTCAGAGCTCCGTCAATGGCGAAGCAGAGTCACAAATGACCTCCAAAAAATGGTTTTATCATAAAAATGAGACTTCCAACACTTTTCTAATGACTCTTAATATTGGAAACACACAAAAAACTCACAATTTCTAACCTAAATCACAAATTTGAATAAAATTTACATAAACTTTAAAAAAAACTCAAAAACAACTTACAATTGATCATGTCTCTTGATTCAATGTGGTTGAACAGTTAAGTTAATTGATGCTTTAAGATTTCTGAAGAGTTTTTTGCGAAGTGGTTTGATTTTGTAATAATGGGTGTTTTGTGTGTTTTGAAAATGCTACTGTAAAGGGAGGGGAAAAGACAACGCGCCTTTAAGTTTGGATGCAAGTCAAAAATATTCTGATTGTCATCGTAAATTCAATTATGATTCATATCTTGATTGGAGCTTGGGTTCCAAGGTCAGGCCATTGTGTATGTTTGAGATGCAACTGAAAATATATTTACGGTTCTAACCGGAGATATATTTCTGGTTTGAACCCAACTTTTATATACCATATATGTCTGAGCAAGGTGCGTATCGGAAATAAATTTCTAATTTTAAAAGGTACTTTAAGAATTTCGCGTGATATGTTAGAAAATTATATAATGAAAAAAAAATCTCATTTTTTAAACTAGTTTATATAATTTGGTTTTTTTAAACACCCACCAAACCAAATTAACATACGCCAAACCAAATTAACAGTTCAATTTTATAAAAAAAGAGAGTATAATACTTCAGTTCAATTTTAAAGAACAACCCTAATTCGAACTTCAAATTAGTTATAATAATCTGGAAAAATAATAGAGTATATATTCAAACTGATCTTGAGAAAAATATGAATAGTTGATTCCTAAAAAATGGAAAATGTTTATTTATAAGAAAAAGTGAAAACAAGAAAGACAAGAATAAATCTCAATTATTCCTTATCACAACCACCTCATGATCCCTATTAAAAAATAAATTTAATTTATAATAAATTAAAAATTATCTACTAAATTAATGACACATGTACATTCTTATGTTTGTTACTCAAATTCTTTCGTACTAAATAGCATTACTCTTAAAAAATAAAATATCTATTTAGCTTAGAAATATCAGTCTGGTTAGTTATTTCTTGATATCAAGAAAGACTAGTTTGAAACTTTTTTATGATTAATTTGATAATTTTCATGTCAAGAATCAAATAAATCCCATTTTTTTAATGACTAGTTAGAGTCTATATTACAAATTTCTAGTTATTTCTATAGAAATAAACGAGGTAAGAGTAAATGAAGGTGGGAGGTGAAGTCAAGGAGATAAATATTTGGAAGGGATCCTCTCCACTCCAGTTTATATCATCACCCTTCATATCTCTAAAAGTGTGTGGTAAAAGAAAACTTGTAGTTAATATTGCACTGCACACAACTTACACCAGAGAGAAACTTCATCTTAAATATTTAGAGAGAAATTGAGGGCGAGTTAATTATATTATGAAGACAAAACAAATTATATTATTACTAATTACACAAGTAAAAAGCAAAGACGGGAGGGAATTCGCATGCACGTGGAATGATATGTGTTAGACAATTAGTGTTAATCACAATAACTCTCTAAAATTGTTAGTGCTTCTTTTATCGAAGGTTGCTTGAAGAAAGAGTGTAATGGAATTCAATTTGTAACATTAGATGAAATGGCATGTATACTTTTAAGCCTTTCTTCGCATCACCCTGCATCTCTCTTACAGGAATTGCAGTGAAGAAACACTCTTTCATGACTCTGCCTCTTCATTCAACAAAAATATTTCACACTAAAAACTAGTCATTCAAATTTACTATGTACACTAATGCATTGTTGTCTATGGCACTAATGCATAATGGCTCACATGCACTAATGCCTCACTAAACATATATAATTCTGAAGCAGAATGGCTTATTTCATCCCATAAGCTTATCAAAGGATATTGCAACTTGAAGGAATCAAAATTTCCATTCCCCTCAATTTCCTCTAGAATGAAAAATCCAACAAAGGACTTTTAAAACACTAAAATGGTCGATGGATTTTTATTTTCAAAACACAGTCAAGATGAACGTGTTTAAAACATTAAGATAGTGGGTGGATTTTTACTTTCAGAATACAGTCAAGATCAAAGTGTTTATCAGAAAGAAAAAAATTTAGATAGTCCATGTTCTCACACAATTTCTATATTTTGACAATCTATCTCTAATCAGGCTACCGAATTTGCAATTGATCAGTATCTTAACTTGGGTCGCTCAACAATAAGAATAACTGCACATGCACTCTCTTCTGCATTTAACCTAAATACTCAACTTAATATTCAATCAAAAATCATGATTCAACGTGTAACAGTCAACAAGAATAAATTAATATTCAAAAATAACAAATCAATTTAAACAATATTTCAAGAGTCATAGAAAAAAAATCAACATTCAACAAGAAAGTTTCAACCTAACAAATCAACATTCGACAAGAAAATTTCAACCTAACAAAGGAACATTCGACCTAGCAAATTAACTTTCAACTAAGAAAATCATAAAACAAAACATAACAATAACAATAAAAAATTAGAAAAACAAAACAACCTTAAGTTACCCAACAGAGGAGAGAGACGTCAGATGCACTGCACTAGAAAAAAAGTGCAGGGCAGACGGAGTAGACATGAGAGAGTGAAGGTCAACGGAGATATCAAAAGAGAAGATTGTTTGTGTTTTTGTAATTTTTAATCATAACCTATGAAGTCCAGACTTGGACATATGACATGATACGACTTTGCTAATGTTAAAAACATAAGACACAGACACGACTATATATATTTTATATATTAATATAAATGTAATTTATGAGTATAATTTATAAAGACAAAGTGTCTCTCAACAGAAAAAAATACACAAAGCATAAAGAAATTTCAAATGGTGATGCCGTGGAAGTGGATGATACCTGAATTAGTCTAGAGACACATTGTTAGAATGGTGATGCCGTGGGGGAAAATACACACAAAATGGAGACCGAAAATACACACATATTTAAATAATTTATTAGAAATTGTATATAGCATTAATCAATAAAAATTCATAATAGAAGGAGAAAATACACAACGCATAAAGAAATATCAAATGGTGATGCCGTAGAAATGGATGATCCCTAAATTAGTCTAGAGACACGCTCTTAGAGTGGTGATGCCGTGGAGGAAAATACACACAAAATAAAGACAAAAAATACACACATATTTAAATAATTTATTAGGAATTATATATAGCATTAATCAATAAAAATTCATAATAGAAGGAGAAGATAAATAAAAAAACTTTGGAGAGTGGCGGCAAAGATAAAACAAGGAATCCTAATTTCGTAATTAATTGTGTTGATTTTATAGAAATGAAGTAAAATATGAAATGTGTCAAGGAATCCTATTTTTGAGTTAGGTTTTTTTATATAAAAAAAAAATCTGAATTACCGTGTCCATTTTGATTCAACTTTTTTTTTTTAGACACTTCAAAAATGTGTCAAGTATGTGTCGCACGAGTACCCGTGTCATACATGCCTTGTGAATGGCGTGTCACAGCTTCATAGATCATAACTATGGGTAATTCTGTAATTTCACCTGTAAAAAAAGTATTTGGGAGTACTGCAGCTGTTCCAATCTGCTAAAAGCTCCGTCAATGAAATCTATTTCATTCAATTTCACTATTTACTTCAATTTTTCCTTCCCTCCAAATGTGAGGCTATGAGATGGAGCTACTAACATATTTCATTTTAGAATTATTAAAACACTATCAAAGGTATATAGTGATTACTAAGTATAACTAATTGTATCAAAGTATAACTCTTTGCACTCTGAAGCCAAAAAAAAAAAACATGCAGGCGCTTAAGTTACAATGAATGAATAATGTTAAAATCGGTATGACCAAATTACCATAAAGAAATCTACAAAGTCATGAAATCCTAATCATTCAATAAGTGCCATCAACCGAAAGATACTTAACTGACTGGATTATTGTATCATAGCCAATCTTGCATTGGTCATTTAACAGTATACATGAAGCTTCCGATCTTGAAACTCAGGGATAGAATCACAACTGAGAAACCCATCAAGAAAACCCAACCATGTGATAACATAAATGCAGTTTTGCTACAGACCAAGCCAGAAGTAGGCACCAGAGTTGCAGAGTTAACATCAGTTTGGGGAAACCCAGAAGACATAATGGTGTGAAAACCTCCATTCTTGCCCACCATCCAATCCATCGCATTGCCTCCAAAAGTAATATCCGTAATGCTGATCATACTCATACCTGCAGTTATATGTGCTGAACTGGAAGACACGGTTGCAGGATGCATTCCAATAGCAAACTCCTTAGCAGGAAACTCTGATGCAAATACAGGTGGAGCAGGTATGCGGGCCAACAAATTATTGGCTTGCATTACAAAAGCATTTGCATCTCCAGAGACCCAATTTGACGCCTTAAGATCCTCCTTTGGTAAAACTATTTCACTACTAGACTGTGCATCAACATGTTGGTTTGCCAAAGTACTACCATTGGTTTCTCCCTCCACATTCTGCTCAATGAAAGACTGTCCATAGTTGGCAATGGGGCTTTCACTCTCTACATTCAAAGGAGAATCAAAGCAAATATATTTGGAAATATCTTCATCAGGGCATGCAAGGTACTCATCTAAGATTGCAGCAACAGAAGGATCAATCTCGGTGGTAATAGCCCCGTCAATATTCTTAACATCATTGGTATCCACATATTCTTCATTCAAACCCGCAAGATAACTAGAGGCATCAAAATATAGATCTGGATCCACATATTCAAAATTGAAATTCAGAAGATTCTCATTATTGTTTGTCTCACCATTGTATCCATCTTGCACTGAATTGATATCCACACCATATAGATCGGCCATATTATTAGGCTGATCAATCTGACTATTGTAAATACCAAGAGCAGCTTCAAATTGTTTATGATCATTAATAAATGCTTGAGAATGGCTACTACACTCCCCATAACAGAAGTTCGATGGCAAGTCAGCACTTCCAAATGTAACACAAGTATCAAGCTCCTGATCAAGGTCATTGGTTTCAAAATAATCATCATCAGTATGAGCAGGCACTTTATCTGTTGAATGCTCACTATCAACAGCCGTCAAGGGATACACCTGTTCATCAAAATCAGGAGCAGGAGCAAACACTTGTAGTTTCAAAAGCTCATTATCAACAGGAAGCAAGGGATCCACCTGTCGTCCATCAATAATATTCTCCCATTCTGCCTCAACAAAGGGAGCCCCATACTTCTCCCCATTCTTAGGCCCCGGACCACTCTTCTCGAAGATCCTACACAGCACATAAGCATCCTTCTCCACCAAACCAAACCAAAAACAAAAATCATCTCAAGTAAGAATCAAATCAAAACCCAATTCAATACATAAATAACAATTAGAAAGGAAAAAAAAAACATTCTAAAGCATGGATACTCCAAAGTTAATGGTGTACTCGTACCCGGTGGGTACTCGTAACGTACTCATCAATACTTTTTTAACACGCCTTGAGTCTAACTAACAAATAAGTATATACTTATCTTTTACTATAAAGAACATCAACATCAACCAAGCCGTATCCCACTAAGTGGCATTGGCTACATGGATCAACTTCCGTCATAATGTTCTATCCAGGACCATAGTTCTATCCAAATTGTTAATCATAAGATCTTTCTTAATAACTTTTCTTATAGTTTTTCTAAGTTTTCCTTTATCTCTAAATGTTTGACTTCTGCTCATATGATATACTCTCCTTACCACGAAATCTACAGGTTTTCTCTCTACATGCCTAAACCCTAAGTTTATTTTCTACAATACTCACTATTTATCACTATTATAAACTTATAATACCTGCACTCCAGCTTTGGCCAATTCTTCATCAATCATCCTATACTCATGCATGACCCAATTGGAGCGATCACCATGTGGGGCCCGTCCTAAGTGATAAACAAGGGTCTTCTTCATTCCAACAGTGTCCTGCCCGTTCTTGATAACGCGATCCTTTCCCGTAGTCTTCCAGTACCCCCTGTCAGTAGTACGATTCGTCCTCAAACTATTACCGTACTTCTTGTCCAGCACAGTGAAGAAGTACCATTCCAAATCCTTGTTCTTCAGCTTCGATAAACTGGGAAGGTCCCACGGTTCGAACTTGTAGATGTCAATCACCGCAAGATGGTCGAAACGGAAAGGTAGATTTCCGGTGAGCTTTCGCTTCAGGTAGAAACAAACGATCTCTTCATCGGTGGGGTGGAATCGGAATCCAGGAGCTTGGTAGAGAGACATTGATTAGATAGAGAATCGGTGAGGAAAGAAAAAAAGAGAGAAAGCGAAATTGATGAGAAAGATGGAAATTAGGGTTTTTTAATTAGAATGCGAGACATTTGGGCTTTTTAGGAGTGACCAGGAAACTTCGTTTATATATATATATATATATATATATATATATATATATATATATATATATATATATATATATATATATATATATATATATATATATATATATATATATATATATATATATATATATATATATATATATATATATATATAAAGAGTATACAACCACAAAGGGTATATATAATGAATCAGTACAAACTAAACTAGAATGTTATGACATCAGTCATGACATTCACACATACATTTGGGTTTTACCAAAAATGCAAGCCAATAACTAAACAACTACACATTCGAAGTTTGAAATTTATGTGCTGGAGTATTTGGAGACACGTGGAAACAAGAGAGAGACATTGTTCTGCATGTTCTGAACGTGGCATAATCTTATAGCAAGACCGTTATGGTCGAATTAGTATAAATAGAAGTCTTAGTATTAGGATTTCGGGTGTCATATCTATTGTACTAAATACTCAGTAAACATTCAAATTACCACATGGCTAGGGAAACGAATGCAAGAGCAATGTACGTATGATAGCACCACATGTTTATGATTTAATGAAAACCTTTTATCATTTCCAGTACTTTCCTTTATTTTCCTGCCAAATACCATTTACAAGTTTTCTCGTTTAAAGTCTTTTTATTCGAAATCTTTTCATTGAAGCCTTACATTTTAATGCTTTCTTTACATTTCAAACACTTTACATTTCAGAAAACTGTCATACTTTTCATGCCTTTATCTTCAAGTTTTATCTTTCGAACGCCTATTTTTACTTAAAGTCATTTTACAGATTTCTTGCATTAAACGCTTTCTTCATATTTCGAATCTTTTACATTCCAGAGCATCTTTTACATTAACTGTTTTTATAATTCGAAGCCATTTACTTGCTTTTTATACAATTTTACATGTCTTTACAATTAACATTTATTCATGCAAGTTAGTTTCGCGCACATATATTTTGATTACACCTTTAGATCTTTAAGAGAGAAATCGAAATAAGTCAAACACCTACACAACACTCAAATACCAACCATGAATATATGTTCGATCATGAGAGTTACCCTAATGACCAATGAGTCATAGGATCAATCTAGTCGATCCTGCGAGTTACCAGAGAAATTGAATAACAGTCAGTAAGTTTATTCGATAGTTTGGAAGACTAGTGGTTGTTTACCAGAAATCACTGGAAACAAATTGGCACACCCGATGGGACCAATAATTGGACATTAGAAATAAAGATTGTTGAGACATAACCATTATAAAAACGTTGGAACCTAAGAAGTTTGCTGTTTTATGAACCTAAGAAGTGGTAAGATAACCAACAGCAACCAAACCTTATCCAGAAGAAAACGTTTGAACAAGATGTCTAATTCTGACAATCAACAAGGGGAACAAAATGCCCCACATACAACAGGCACTAATGTGTCCACTTCGATGGGAACATCTAATGTGATCCCTTCGAATGCACAGTCTGTTGCATCCTTAACCAGTAATATAGCCACCAATGGAGTAAGTGACATATCAACTAATAGTTCGATCTTAGGAAATACTGGAACCGTTGGTTATCCCGGGGGATTTGTTCCACCATCAGGGACACAATCCCATTTCGCCACTCCGCTAACTAGACCACCCGGTTTCGATGGTAATAGAACTAGAAATTCCTCTTATGGAATGCCAACTTCCTTTATGGCAGGTTTACACAATTCCACATCGAATTCATCACCACAATTAGGGTCTGGGTCTGGGGCGAATCAGTTTATGACAAATAACCAAGGGTCAGTGGGTTATAGCACAATGCCTATTTTAACCACAGAAAACCAGTTGGCTTTTAGGCAATTGATGGATGACAGTAACCATAATATGATAGGGGTGTTAGCACAAACTATGCAGGAAATATTTGCCCCAATAGTACAAAATGTGACTGTGACAAACAGGGAAAACGCTGACAACATGAGTCGAATAGCAGATTTCTTTGCTCCCCCAGAAAGGCGTAGGCAGAATCAGGCGGGATTTCGAGCAAACATGCCTGTTATGGAACAAGTTGCTAACGACCTAATTTATAGACCACCTAGAGAAGAAGTTAACTTGGGGGCAAGGGCACCAAGGTTAGAAGCCCCAATAATCCCAGGCCCACAAAGAGAAATTATGGAACCAGGGGCAAGGGTCGAAAGGCTAGAAGCCCCAGAGTTTCGAGAAGAACAACCTATGGGGGTTGTCATGGTTGGTCGAAATCAAGATGTTGATGCTGTCGTTCATAGAATTCGAAACGACAACATCTTGGCAGAAAACAATCTAACCACCATGATAGAGAGAGTCATGGCCCATAATGGCCTCAATACAGGAATGAGAAGGCCAAATTATGCTTCTCCTATATTAGATTGCATAATGCATACTGATTTACCAAGGGGATATAAAGTCCCTAAATTTACAAAGTTCGCTGGGGATACCAATGAGTCAACAGTCGAACACATAGCCAGATATCTAACTGAAGCGGGAGATATAGCCAATAATGAAGATCTCAGGGTCAAATATTTCCCAAGTTCCTTGACTAAAAACGCCTTCACATGGTTTACCACTTTACCTCCTGGGTCCATTGATACTTGGGCTCTTTTGGAGAGATTATTCCATGAACAATTTTACATGGGACAGTCGAAAATAAGCTTGAAGGAATTAGCCAGTGTCAAGAGAAAGTTCACCGAACCCATAGATGATTATCTGAATAGATTTAGGCTTTTGAAATCCAGATGTTACACAGTAGTGCCTGAACATGAGTTAGTCGAAATGGCCGCTGGTGGTTTGGATTACTCTATTCGAAAGAAACTAGACACTCAATATTTGAGGGACATGGCTCAGTTAGCCGATAAGGTTCGACAGGTCGAAAGGCTAAAGGCCGAAAAGGCCAGAGTCTTTAAGAATAGCAAGAAAGAAAGGATCTCCTATGTTGGAACTGAGGAAGTAGAAGAATATCCTGAATTCGAATTCGAAGAGGTCGAAATCGACCTCGCTGAATTAAAACAGGCTCCACCTTACTCCTACAAATTATTGGTTCCCACAAAAGGGAAAGAGATTGTTGAAAATGAGAAAAGTGACAAATTCCCAAAGAAGGTTTATACCTTCGATGTCACTAAATGTGACGAGATTTTTGATTTACTTGTCAAAGATGGCCAACTCATTGTGCCATCAAATGTCAAAATACCTCCTTTAGATCAGAGAAAGAAGAGAGGATTTTGCAAATATCATAGTTTCCTAGGCCACAAAACCTCACAATGTTTTCTTTTCAGGGACCTAATTCAAAATGCAATCAAAGATGACAGACTAAAGTTTGCTGATAAGGCAAAGATGAAAGTGGACGAAGATCCCTTGGACGTCGCAGACACCAACTACTCCGAGCCTGCATGCATTGGAGAGATTAACATGGTGGAAGCTGACCAAAGCGATGCCCCAACAGGAGAGAAAGGAACTGAAACTGAAAGCTGGGTGATGGTCGAAGTCGATAAAGAGGTCACTGAAGACATCCAGAAGATACCAGAGACTTCGATTGAAGCAGCACCTGTAGCTGTTGCAAAAGAAACCCATGCTACTGAAGGCCAGGAAAATCAAAACCAAGAACTAACACAGGTCACTGAAGGCTTGAGGGTGGAATTGGAGAAAGTCCAAATCACGAAGCCAACTTCCCCTCAGAAGGAAATATGGGACACTCTAGGGGAACCCAGTGGAAAATTTGACTATTTGGTCAAATATTCTGCCCCAGAGAGTTCGAAGGTTCACATTGAGGATATAAAGCCCACAGAATGGGGAGATGATGAAGCTAAGGGAGAAGATGTTGAGATAAATATGGTGGATATGGAGAGGCCTCGCTCTGAGATGGAGGAGGTAGAAAAATACTTAGAAAAAAAGAAGTATAAAATGGAGGATAATCACGCTGGAGATGCTAGTCTCAAGGATTACCTCATGACATGCCACAAAGGAGATACAGGCATGATATTGTGCCCCAGGTGCAGCATCCTCTGCAATCAGAGAATCGCTGCAAATTTCGAGAGGGTACAGAGGACTCGAACTGGCAACAATTGGCGCCAGGATAACCAGCTGTTCAGGTGTTATCCTAAGGCTGGAGAAAGTTTGCTGGAATTTGTGTTTCACTGCTACAAAGGGGCAACCAAGTGCTTGATTTTCCCAAGGTGTTCTGCCGTGTATGATCAAAGCATGGCCAGAGCTTTCGAAACGATTCCCTTCGCCCCTTGCTGGAACCATCAAGAAACTGTCCAGATGGGCCCATGTTTCGACAGCAGACACAAACAATGAAGGCCTGATAGCCCTCACCCCAAGGCTTCTCGAAGAGTGACTTTCAAACTCCCTGCTGAAGTGCCAACCGACAGATGGTTGCAAGTCAGAAATGACAAAGGCAAAGACAGATGGAGAAACACCGAACGAAATGCACGCCATGCTATGACGTACATAAGGAAATTCAACATAGCAAAAAGGGAGGAGGTAAGATTAGAAAACTACAAAGGAAGGAACCCCATGTCGAGATCCCAGTGGCGCAGGCAACAAAGGATTCGAAAGGCTGAGAGGGAAGCTGTGGCAAACAAAGGGGTCACTTCAACAAAGAACCAAGGTGAATCTAGCACCAATAAACTCACACCAAAAAATCAAACTGAAGACAAACCTCCAGTTAATAGGAAGCTTTTCTCTGAAGTGCAACTGGATGAACCAAAGGAATACACTCCAGGCCCAGAAGAAGACGAAGATATGATAACAGATAACTTCAAATCGGAGGGGGAGTCTTCATTCAACCTAAACTGTAACGTGGTATCCGTACTTCCCTGTGAATTTGGGCAGGAAACCGAAATTGATGAATATGAGGAAGAAGATACCACAGATTTGATGA